TAAGTATCGAACTTGCTATGGAAGGGATCGAACGATCCACCGATTTGGGAGATTCGGCGTTTGCGGCGATTGCGCGCTAAAGGAATAGATGGGTATCGATCGGCGTCCAGCGCTAGCGACTGCGTGGTTTCGGCGATCTCCTAAAATTTCAGATCCCTCGATTCGTCGGTTCGCTCGAGTTCAATTTCGCGCCGATCGATAACTATCACTCCTCTGGCACGCAGTCGCCGGAAACGCCAAGTCTCCCATATCGCTCTCCGCGATCGCCGGATCGATCTCTATACATCCCTCGTCGCGCAGTCTCTCAAATCGTCAAGTCTTCTAAATCGCCGAATTTCACAGTTCGCCAGATCTCCTCTGTCGCAAGTTGTGAACCGGCTTTATCGGGAGACGGGCAAGAGAATCGTAATTTGCCGCTCCGCCGCGCGCGGCGATGGGCGCGGCGTTTTCTTAACTCGTGTTAACCTGTCGACTGGAGCACCGGACTTCATGTAGACCCCGTCATCGTAGACATTCATGACTATTTTCGGTTCTGAATTGCCTGTTGTCGCCATCTACTACCTTTGAACCATCGTCATTTGCGGGCGCGACGTCGCACGCAATGTCCACCAGCGCAGTGAATTACGATCAGGGCACATCGTTGTTGGGGAATCCCCAATAGGGGGTCGTATTTGGCCGCCAGGAGAGGGGGTCGTATTTGGGCTGGGAAAAATTTATTTTGATAGTTGATTTTTCTCGCTTCATGGACGTTGTAAAGGGGGGGGTCGTACTTGGTCATTGTTGGGAGGGGGGGTCGTATTTACGTTTTGGCGTTGTAGGAGTGGTGGTTGACTTTTGGTTGGTTTTTGGTGATTTTCCTGTTTCATGCGTACTGTATACCTTTCCCCCCCTCTCGACAGCAAAGTTTTTGGGAAAAAGTAGGGAACTTTCTGGGAAATTTTGGAAAAAGTGGCAGGAAGTTGTGGAAAAAGTGGCAGGGAGTTGAGAAAAATCTGAAAATTGTGAGGGGGTCGTACCAAGTCCCAGAAACGGGGATCTTACTAACCCCCCCCACCCCAAAAAAAGGGGGGGGTCGTACAGACTCGACTAAAATCCCCAACCAATTATGTGCCCTGATTACGATTCTCTTAGATTCTCTTGTTACATACCACGCTTTATCGGCGGGACCGGGCCGCGGCGACTCTGGTTGTCTGCACTCTGCTGTGCCTGACCAGACAGTGACATGGGATTTGTGCATGGTCAAACAAATTCACAAAGTTTTCTTGTAGTTCTCAAAGGTTTCCACTGTCATAGACCCTGCTATCGATCGATTTTGCCTGCCCCGTGTTTGTGATGCGAATCATTTGGAAGGGGCTATAAAGCAACCATGTTTCTGTTTTCGTTGACAAGTGATTCAAGTGTTATTTCCTACAAATTTTGTCTGAATTTTGCTTAATATTGATTTTTGTGTTTGTTTTCTAGATTGTTTCATTTGTTTCTGTACTGACATGGAGCGATGTGAAATTAACATTCATATGAATATTCAGTTTAATATTATTCAATTCAACCACATCTTATTTCAGCATGGCGGGCGTTTTCGATATTGAGCTAGATGGGGGCGAACCACATCGCTATGGTGATAGTGGCGTAATGCAAGAAGAGATGGAAGATGACCAGATGTACAGCAATGTAGCTGATGTAAGTTCTCTCTTTGGATGTACTTTTTATCCCATTCTTCTTCAACTAAAGAGTTTGAAAGAATGTGCACTGACTTCATCTCACACTTCCAGGTTGTTTTTCTTTCTGGGTGTCGATAATGCAAAATGCTTATCCCAAAAATGCATTGGTTCTTTGATACTGTTTCTTGGCTAGAAATGAATTGGGTTGCATTCCTTTCATTTTGCGGCTCGCCATGTGTTACGTAAGAATGCATTCATACTTCGCGTCAGCGTAAAAGGGAAAGTATTGCGACAACGAGAAAGTATTATAGTGCGCGTCATTAGTATTGATCTGATCCATGCTAGCGTATACCAGCATCCTCTAGAAGTGGAGAGTATCGGGAACTAGGAGGATAACAGTCTGCTGGATTAGGCACCGTACAACTGCTGAATCACATAAGTAAGCAATCTTGATGTACAGTGTAGTGCAGTTGTACGGTGAGATTGCACACGCCGCCATTTTACGGCCCCTAAACCAGCAGCCTGTGACCCTCCTACTTCCTCACCACTCCTGGTAGACGCTGGCACCTGGAACGCTGGATCGGTATCTATACTTTCCTGGTCGCTCGAAACGCTACGCTGCTATGCGCTGGCGTGCGCTAGATCGGCACCTATGCTTTCTGAGTCGCTGCGGCTGGCGAACGCTCGAAACGCCGCCGTACGCTGACGCAAAGTATGAACGCAGCCGAAGAGTGTCTTCATTCTTTGCGTCAGCGTTTTGAGCGACCAAGAATGTCTAGATATCGAATACCGTCAAAGAGGCTGGACGACGAAAGGATGTCACTCAAAACGCTGATGGACGCTCAAAACGCTGGGAGACGCTCAGAACGCAGCCCAAAGTATGAACGCACTCTAAATTAGCCTAATGCTGTTTTCCATACTGAACCCAACAAATCACAAGATTTAGTAAATACAGTTTTCCACCCATACTGGTGCTTGAGCTGCTTACTTTTTACCTTTTTCAGGGTGTAATATCCGCTCCGCCGCCATCCTCCTCATTCATGTGCGTAGTGTGGATTACTCTTCATTCTTATTCTTCCCGTCCTATTGTTTTTATTTTGTTCTCATTTTAGCCAAGATCCAATGGTTGAAGCCATTGATTTGTCATGTATAGCCGTCAATCAAGGCGTTCGAGTCGGCCCAAAAGACTTTGAGTTGCTCAAGG